CTTAGAGAATGTGGTAAAACAGAACACAGTATTCTCTGGCCAGATGTCTATATAAACCCTGTTTCAGTTATCTATTGCTGTGTAACCAGCCATCCCAAAACTTGTTGACTTAAAATGACAATTTATTATTTATTTTTTTGTAGAGACAGAGTCTTATTTTATCGCCCTTGGTAGAGTGCCGTGGTGTTACACAGCTCACAGCAACCTCCAGCTCTTGGGCTTAGGCGATTCTCTTGCCTCAGCATCCCGAGTAGCTGGACTACAGGCTCCTGCCACAATGCCCAGCTATTTTTAGAGATGGGATCTCTCTCTTGCTCAGGCTGGTCTCAAGCAGTCCATCTGCATCAGCCTACCAGAGTGCTAGGATTACAGATGTGAGCCACAGCATTCTCGTTAAGGTTCTTATACTTTAACAGTAACATTAGTGACTTACTTACTTGATTTATTCTAATATATAATAGTTTCTTACTTGTTTAGTTCTTTTTGTTGTTGTTGAGATAGAGTCCCATCCTATGTCCCTGAGCAGACGGCAATGGCTTGGTAGCTCACCGCAACCTCAGACTTCGGCTTGTGAGCATCCTGCTGCCTCAGCCTCCGGAAGCCACTGGGATTACAGGTGCTCGCTGCAGCACCCAGCTGGGTTTTTCCATTATTTTCATGAGTCAGGGTCTCACTCTCACTCAGGTGAGTCTCCAACTCCTGAGCTCAAGCAATTCTCCCTCCTCAGCCTCTCACAGTGCTGGGATTACGGGCGTGAGCCACCACACCCAGCACTTGTTTGGTTCTTATACTATCATAGTAACATTAGTGACTTACTTATTTGATTTATTGTAACATATAATAGTTTCAAAATAATAATATTACTGTTATTACTAGCAATATAATTACTGAAAACATTGTATATTTTGGGGGAGTTTATCTTCAAGATATCTGACTATGGATAAATAATCAAATTACCATGTTAAATTTCTTTACTTTTTTTATTTTTAATCGTTAAAAATTTTCTAATACAGGCAGTGTCCGTAGCTCAGTGGGTAGGATGCCAGCCACATACACCAAGGCTGGCGGGCTCAAATCTGGCCTGGGCCAGCTAAAACAACAATGACAACTAAAACAACAACAACAACAACAACAACAAAAATAGCTGGGTGTTGTGGCTGGCACCTGTAGTCCCAGTTACTTGGGAGGCTAAGGCAAGAGAATCTCTTGAGCCCAAGAGATTGAGGTTGCTGTGAGCTGTGATGCCATGGCACTCTACCCTGTTTCAAAAAAGAAAAAATTTTTTTTCTAATATTTTATTAGGCAATTTTTCAAACATATAGTACATTTGAAAGAATTATACAGTGATCAGCCATACACTCACCACATACATTTCATAATTTCTTCTTCTTCTTCACATGTAGGGAATTTGTTCATAGGGAAGCTGCAAATTTTGTGCGCCTTGTTATAATAACACCAGACTCCTGTGGGGTGGCTTAAAAACAGAGGAGCCATTTTTCAGGCCCCCTGTACTATGTTAAATTTCATGTAATTATTCACTTAAAATAATTCCCCTCCTACAGTTAAGACACTACCCTGAAGTTTGGTTAGATTCATCTGTTTGGTTTTGGTTTTGATTTTTTTTTTTTTTTGAGACAGAGTCTCAAGCTGTCGTTCTGGGTAGAGTGCTGTGGTGTCATAGCTCACAGCAACTGCCAACTCTTGGGCTTAAGCAATTCTCTTACTATTTTTTGGTTGTAGTTGTCATTGTTGTTTGGCAGGCGTGGGCTGGATTCGAATCCCCTCCAGCTCCAGTGTATGCGGCTGGCACCCTAGTTGTTGAGCTACAAGTGCTGAGCCTGGTTTTGATTTTTAGGGCCTTTTCCCACCTTAATTTAGTTCTTTCTTATAATTATATAATATGGTTACATGTTTCTGTAGTCAAATGACACAATACATATATCAAAGATTAGTTAGACCGTGTTCTCCCCTCTTATAGGCAATTAGTTTATTCTTGATTTATACTTCCACTGTTTGCTTTTTTTCTTAAAGTAGTGGTAAAATAAATATAATATTTATGATTTTAAGAATTTTTTTAAATAGACAGGGTCTCACTATAGTGCCCAAGCTAGAGTGCAGTAGTTATTCACAGGTATGATCATAGCACATTATAGCCGTAAACTCCTGGCTTTATGTAGGCCTCCAGTGATCTTTCTGCCTCAGCCTCTCAAGTAGCTGGGATTAAAGTTACACACCATCACGGCTGGCACCATTTGACAATTTTTAAGTGTATAATTCAGTAGCATTAAGTACATTTGCATTGTTGTGCAACCAATCCTATTATCTATCTCCAAACTTTTTCACCATCCCAAACTGAAACTATGTAACTATTAAACAGTTAACTCCCCATTATCTCCTTCTTCCATCCCCTGGTGATCACTGTTCTTTTTGTCTGTATAAATTTTAGGCCATGTAACTTATATAAGCTGGAATCATACTATTTATCCTTTTGCGTCTGGCTTCTTTCACTTAGCATAATGTTTTCCAGGTTCATCTATGTTGTAGGATGTGTCAGAATTTAATGCTTTTTTTTAAAGCTAAATAAAATACCACTGTGTGTGTGTGTGTGTGTGTGTATACATTGTTCATCCATCCATCCATCAATAGGGTGCTTCTACTTTTTGGTTGTTGTAAATAATGTTGCTGTGAATATGGATATACAAATATCTGTTTGAGTCTCTGCTTTCAATTCTTTTGAGTCCACACCTGGAAGTGGAATTGCTGGATTATATGGTAATTCTATGTTTCATTTTTTGAGGAACTGCCACATTATTTTTTTTTCTTTCTCTCTCTTTTTTTTTGACAAGGTCTTGCTCTTTTGCTCAGGTTAGAGTACGGTGACATCATCACAGCTCACTGCATCTTCAAACCCCTAGATTGAATCCATCCTCCTGCCTCAGCTTCCCTAGTAGTTGGGACCATAGGCACATGCCACCGTATCAGGCTAATTTTTTTTTTTTTTTTTGAGTTTCTTATAGAAGCCTTGCTATGTTGCCCAGGCTGGCCTCCAACTCCTGGCCTCAAGCAATCCTCCCTCCTCAATCTCCCAAACTGCTAAGATTATAGGTGTGAGTCACAGTAATGGCCACTGTTTTTGATTTTTAAAAAAACTAAATACAAATGTTATTATGAGCTAATGGATTTTAACACATTTTTATTATTTAGTCCATTGCTGTCCACTATTCTTTTTTTTTTTTTTTTTTTTTTTTGAGACGGAGCCTCAAGCTATCCCCCTGGGTAGAGAGCCATGGCATCGCGCTCACAGCAACCTCCAACTCCTGGGCTCAAGCGAGTCTCCTGCCTCTGCCTCCCAAGTAGCTGGGACCACAGGCACCCGCCACAACGCCTGGCCATTTTTTGGTTGCAGCCGTCATTGTTGTTCGGCGGGTCCGGGCTGGGGATTCGAACCCGCCACCTTAGGTGTACGTGGCTGGCGCCTTAGCCGCTTGAGCCACAGGCGCCGAGCCCCACTATTCTTTTTAATGATTATATTGTATCATTGAGGAAAGCTCCTTTAAGTTTGTTCCTGTAGACTTTGATATGACTTTAATAGTCTCTGATATCTTCTTTGCTTTATTTATTTTTCTTTTTTTTTTAAGACAGAGTCTCACTCTGTTGCCCTGGGTAGAGTGCAATGGTGTCACAGCTCACAGCAACCTCGAACTCTTGGGCTTAAGTGATTCTCTTGTCTCAGCCTCCCAAGTAGCTGGGACTACAGGCGCCCGCCACAGTGCAAGGCTATTTTTTTGTTGCAGTTCCCCCTGCTGTTTTAGCTGGCTGGGACTGGGTTCAAACCCATGACTCTCAGTGTATGGGGCTGGCACCCTACCCACTGAGCCACAGGCACCACCCCCACCTTCCTTGCTTTCTGAAATGACAAAATATTTGAGGCAGAGCTTGTCTGTTTCCTGTTCCTAGCTCGGAACCAGTCTTCATTCTCAATGTTCTGAATATATGAAAAATATTCAGATATCCAAGTAGAAAACACAGGACTGAATTCATTTAAGACAGGGAATACTTTATTCAAAACCCACCAGAGAAATGGACAGCTTGGTTCTGTAACAAAGCATTCATGTTTTAAAGCACAGGTCAGTAATTGTATATGAGAGCATATACGGCTACATACGAATTAACTGATCAGACCACAACTTTTCCATGTTTAAAACAGAATAAACTTCCCTGTAAAAGCAGCACCTTTGTGACATTTTAACTTTAGTATTCCTCTCCTTCTTCCTC